AATTAGCTAATGGTTTCTTTGGTCCCATTATGCATTGTAGGGCTCCTCTGGCTCAGGGTTTTTTTTTTTTTTTTTTTTTTAAAGAGAATAATTGGGCATTCTGTTCTCAGAGGTTTAATTGTTTTAATAGCCTTGACAATTAAAAAAATGTTTCCCACCTGTTATTAAGAAATTTGCAAACATGCGAGAATTGAAGGAGTAGTACAGTGAGCACCCAAATACTCTCCACCTACATCCAACTATTGTTAACATTTTGCCACATTTGTTTCATCTGTTTGTGTGAATGAGTGTGTGCTTTTATTTTTTTGTCCTGAACCATTTGAAGGTAAGTTGCAGATTTCATGACACTGCTCCTAAAATCTTCAGCCTATTCTCCTATAGAACTATTTAAGAATAAGTTACAAATATCATTCTAATTTACTCTTGCATCTCCCAAGAACAAGAACATTCCTATATAAAACCATAATACTATTATTGAACCTTAGAAAATTAACGGTAATTTCAAATGTCATCTAATATCGTGTCCATATGCAAATTTCTTCAATTGTCCCAAGAATATTTTGTTTTTCAAATCAAGGTTCAGTCAGAATGCACGCATAGCATTTGGTGGTCATGCCTCTTTAGTCTCTTTTAATCTAGAGCAATCTCCCTCCTGCCCCTTTATAAAATATATATTTGATGGCACTGACTTTTTGAAGAGTCCAGGACAGTTATCTTCTGGAATGTCCCAGCTTCTGGGTTTGCCTGATTGTTTCCTCATGGTGTCATGTAATTTGTTTCGTCTCTTATTTCATGTAAACTGGGAAGTAGGTTAAGAGATTTGACTGGATTCAGGTTACACGCTTTTGGCAAGAGGACTTTAAAAGGCTTCATACTGCATCATGCCTGGAAGCATGGGGTGACAGGCTGTCTCGTTTTTGGTGACACTAAATTTGATCACTTGGCTATGGTGGTGACAGCCAGAGGTCTCTGACTCTCTCTCTTTTTTGTAAATATAATAGTGAGAGTTATGTTCTCAAAAGTTAAAAAAAAAAAAAAAAGACAACCCCTTCCCCTGGCTCCTTTCGAAGGTAAAAGGTGCCTCATAGGGTTGTAAGGTAACTTCTGGGCCTATAAGTATGTAATGATTCTGCTGGAGATGACTAGTGGGTGAACTAGAAAGAAGAGCTGAGTTGGAGCCTTGAGATGAGACCATGGAGAGAAAGATTGGGGTTATGCCTCTAGCTTCTGTTAAAGAACCATTGCCAAGTGACTGTCACAGAGGTCATAATGAGCAGTCAGAGGCCTTGGGTTCCTCTTCCCTCCTGTTGAATATTATCACCCTTTTAGGAAGGAGAGACAAACATGCCCACATTCCATCTACAAAATGATAGCCATCTACAAAATGATCAGGAAAGGAATCAAGGAATCCTTCTAGAATGCTTATCCCAGCACATCTCTCATAGTGATGTACTGAATCCAAAAGGCTGGGCATCTCCAGGAAGTGTACTGGAGACAAGACGAGAAGACAGATCGTCCTTATGATGATTGTGTAGCTCAGGAAGTTCAAGAGAAGAGCCACTATAAAATGAACAAGAAGTTAGACCAAGAGAAATCAGGACTGTTCAGCCTAAGAACAGGAAGGCCAACAGAGAGATAATAAAAATGACAGCTTACTAGCAGCTTACTAGGTGCCATTTCATTCTTTGCAACTTTCCTCTGGAAAAGATACTGTTTTACTCCTGTTCTTCAGGTCAGGTAGGGAGACTGATGCTCAGGTTATTTGCTTAAAGGCACATAGCTACTAGTTTGTAGAACTGAGATTTGAACCCAGACTGATACTCACCACCTTTATTAACCTCTGCATTGTACTGTCTGCTTGGGACTTATACACTGGAACTTGGCATAATAGAGTAGGGAGATACTCTGCCTTTTGAAGGAACTAGTTTTCAAGTTTGTTGTTATTGTTAGGTGCCATCGAGTCGGTTCCGACCCATGTACAGTAGAACGAAGCACTGCCCGGTCCTGTGCCATCCTCATAATCATTGTTATGCTTGAGCCCATTGCTACAGCCACTGTGTCAGTCCATCTTGTTGAGGGTCTTCCTCTTTTTGCTGGCCCTCTACTTTACTAAGCATGATGTCCTTCTCCAAGGACTGATCCCTCCTGATAATATGTCCAAAGTATGTGAGACGTAGTCTCACCATCCTTGCTTCTAAGGCACATTCTGGTTGTACTTCTTCCAAGACAGACCTGTTCGTTTTTTTGGCAGTCCATGCTATATTCAATATTCTTTGCCAACACGACAATTCAAAGGCATCAATTCTTCTTCAGTCTTCCCCATTCATCATCCAGCTTTTGCATGCATGTGAGGCAATTGAAAACACCATGGCTTGGGTCAGGCATACCTTAGTCTTCAAGGTGACATCTTTGCTTTTCAACACTTTAAAGAGATCTTTTGCAACAGATTTGCCCAGTACAGTGCGTCTTTTGATTTCTTAACTGCTGCTTCCATGGTTGTTGATTGTGGACCCAAGTAAAATGAAATCCTTGACAACTTCAGTATTTTCTTTGTTTATCATGATGTTGCTTATTGGTCCAGTTGTGAGGATTTTTGTTTTCTTTATGTTGAGGTGTAATCCATACTGAAGGCTGTGGTCTTTGATCTTCATCAGTAAGTACTTCAACTCCTCTTCACTTTCAGCAAGCAAGGTTGTGTCATCTGCATATTGCAGGTTGTTAATGAGTCTTTCTCCAATCTCGATGCCCCGTTCTTCGTATAGTCCAGCTTCTCGTATTATTTGCTCAGCATACAGATTGAATAGGTATGGTGAAAGCATACAACCCTGACGCCCACCTTTCCTGACTTTAAACCATGCAGTATCCTATTGTTGTGTTTGAACGACTGCCTCTTGATCTATGTACAGGTTCCTCATGAGCCAGTTAAGTGTTCTGGAATTCCCATTCTTCACAATGTTATCCATAATTTGTTATGATCCACTCAGTCAAATGCCTTTGCATACTAAATGAAACACAGGTAGACATCTTTCTGGTATTCTCTGCTTTCAGCCAGGATCCATCTGACATCAGCAATGATATCCCTGGAACCAGGCAGTTTTCAAATTACAAGTGTTATTTTTATGGAAACATTTGTTAACTCAACACACCAGTCAGTGGAACTGTCTGAAAATAGCAACAGATTGAAGAAGGAGTTGAAGAGATCTGTTACAGGGAAGACAGATCTATCAGGGGAAGCAAGGGAAAGTAGAGATGCTTTGGAGAGCTTGAAAAACTGGAAAGTTAACTGATTTCTACCTTATTATAATAGATTCTTGAATTAGATTTGGGGAAGGTTTTTTAGGGGGAGGAGGTAGTCTCTAGACAAGAGCCCTGGTGGCTCAGTGGTTAAGCACTTGGCTGCTAACTGATAGGTTGGTAGTTCGAACCCACAGCCACTCATGGGAGAAAGATGTGGCAGTTGGCTTCCATGAAGATTGCAGCCTTGAAAACCCTATGGGGCAGTTCTGCTCTGTCCTATATGGTCGTTGTGTGTCGGAACTGAATCCACGGTGATGGGTTAGTCTCTGGAGAGTGCTCAGATTCACCTCTGTGCTTATGGTGACATTTATTTATATACACCCTGCCTTGTTCTAGAGAACAGATAAGATAGCTTATAATAATACAATAGCAACTAAGAGATAAAATTGAGTGGGTGCATTGGATTGATGCTGGGTGGGGAGGGAGGTTTGAGTGCATGGCCCTTTCCTGGTCTGGCTTTGTCCAGAGCTTGCTTGTAAGGTGTGGGGAGGAGTGGAGAGACTGCATACCCTTTGAGAATCCTCATAAATGCTGAAGCCCTTCCGTGTGGCCATGCTTGGTGGCAGGGGTTGGGGGTGTGCAACAGTTTCCAGCTGCCTGGGGTTTGGCGCATCTGCCTTGTGTCAGTCTTTTCCCTTTTTCTGTCGCAGTTAGCCAGCTCTTCTTCTTTTCCCATAGGTGTCTAAGGTCACCAGGGGGCTGGGGACTAAGGTTCATTCTCGCAGCAGCCACAGAACTGGGTCTTAAACCAGAGCCGTGAGACCGAGGGGCCTGATTTGCCTGTATTAAACTTCTATTGTTTTATTTTTTTAATTTCGAAGTGATGCATTTCTAAATTTAGAAAAGTCTTTAACATAGTTAAATAAAAGATAACGCCCTGTAATCCCTCACCTAGAAATGTCTCTTGTTGACATTTCCATAGGGTCTCGTGACTGGTTCTTTTCTTTTAAAACCCCCTCCCCGACTCTGTTCTTTGTATGGGTGGAGAGGATCTGCTGCTTGGAACTTCTTCTTCTGTACACCATCCATAGCCCTGCCTTTTCCTTAGAGCCCTACAAGTATAAACAAACAAATACATAATGTAGAAATGATCTAGCTAGCATAATAATATAAAATGTTTAGAAAAAAGAGCAGATCGTTTTGCAGTAGCCTAATGCAACAATGACTTCAGTTAGGCATGTTCCTTCCCAGTCTTTTTTCCTTGCCACAGACATATTTAAAGGTGGAGAAAAGGTTCCCAGAGAAGCCAGAATAGGTGAAATGGGAGTTTATAACATACAGAATCTGGTTTTTTTTTTTCCTTACTAAGGTTCCTTTTTTTTATTAAATTAATTTTTATTGTGGTTTAATATATGACAAAACATTAGCCATTTCAACCATTTTTATATGTACAATTCAGTGACATTAATTCACCATGTTTTACAACCATCACCATTATCTCTTTCCAGATTTTTTTCATCATTCTTAACAGAAATTCTTAACAGTACCCCTTAGGCAATAACTCTTCATTTCCCCCTGGCACCCACCCCTGGTAACCATGAATAAACTTTGGTCTCGATGCGTTTGTCTACTGTTGGTATTTCATATAAATGGGATCATATAATACTTGTTCTTTTGTGTCTGACTTATTTCACTCACGTATAGAATCTTAACTTGAGGTGCATTTGCTTTAGTCCATTCATGTTGCCTTTTGTGTCCAACAGTGGAGAACACGCAGCTGACCCTGAACCTGCAGACGGAGAACAAAGGCAGTGTTGTCTCAGGCGGAGAGCTGACAATTTTCCTGGACGGGCCGACTGTTGATCTGGGAAGTGTGCCTAATGGCAGTGCCGTGACAGACGGTGAGTGCCGCCCTGCTCCCCAGGGCTGTGCCGGGACGAGGTGTGGCAGGGCTGGGGATAGGCAGGTGTCGGGGGAGGGGGGAAGGGGCTGGGGAGGAGGTGCTGAGAGCTTGTTTCTCTACCAGGTATATCTTGGTTTGTGTCGCTTAGCCGGTCCTGGCCCATAGCTAGCCCTGACTCTTCTTTGCATCCTGGATCAAAATCATGACATGCTTTTTCAAGGACTGCCTTCTGATAGAGGACCAAAATAAATGTCATCTCCTTGAGAGTGCGTTCTTGTTTGGTTGGAAAGCAGAGAAAAACATCTTTTCATCCCACATGAACTTTGGAAAATAAAACTTCTTTATTAAATGTTACTTTAGCCCATTTTTCTTTTTCCCAATATAGTTAAATTCCTGGGAATTTTGAGGGTGTCTTTTATGGGATGGTATTGATTGGGAAAGGGAGCTATGTGTCTTTACAGTATAGCTACACACTAACAAATACATACAGAGGCAGGGACATTGAAGAGTGTCTCCCACTCTATCCTGAATGTTGGCAGTTTGTTTCTTTTGATCTAGTCTGAAATTAGTCACCTTTGGATCTAACAGGAAATTATTTCATGAAGTCTGAGGTCTGAAATGGGTTGTGTTTCTCCATAATTTTCTCATTAAATGTTTTGTTAAATATGATGTAACCATGGCACTTTCCCCAAACAGGCTTTCTGTAGCTTCAAGGGGATGAGGGTTGAGTGTTAACACAAGGGCAGTCGCAGTCAGGTTGACTCTCAGTGGTTGGATGGGGCTTGACTGCTGAGGAGAACCCCTCAACTGGAGTGAGTGAGACACTGTTGGGGTGCTCTTGGTCAGAGAAACACAGACATCTTTCACTCATTCAACGTACATACATATGCATACACATACACACGCACCCACACAAATAACTGAATACCTGATATGTGCTTGGGCCTGTGCCAGGTGCTAGCCAGATGGCAGCGGGCAAAATCCAAGTGGTCCCCACTCCCTGGAGTTTATAATCATCTACTCAGGGGGTAGGGAGAGACATCAAACAAGTTAACACACAAATAATTGTATAATTGTAATTGTGACAGAAGTTATAAAGGGAAAGTATGGGGTGGTATGAGACCCCTCTCTTTAAGGGGAATCTCATCTGAAGTGAGGGCATCGGGGAAGGTTTCTGTGAGAAACCTCCTCACAGAAGGCTCTCACACACTCAGGAACCTGAGTGTGAGGAGGTGTTTCAACAGATAAAGGGGTGGTGCAGTAAGAGGTAGCGGGGCCACATGTGCAAAGCCCTGAGGTGGGACAAGTGTGGTTTTGGCTGGGAACAGAGGCACCAGGGTGAATGGAGTATGGGGAGTAAGGAGGAGAGTGATGGGAGGTGAGGTCGGAGAGGCTGGTTGACTCGGATCACTCAGGGCATTGAAGGCCTTAATAAGGATTTTGAACCTTATCCCAAGAAGAGGGAAACTGTTGACAGGATTTAAGTAGCATGATCTGATTTAGCTTTTTAAAAATTTTCTGGTTGCAGTATGGAGAAATGCCCCCCGTTATTTGCCTCACTTTGCCTGCTTAACATCTGTTATTTATCTCACAGTTCATGAGGCTGAAGTTCACTTAATGTACAAGGCGCTGTGCTTTTAAGTGCCTTAGAGTTTCTTCTAAGTCTTGGAGAGCAGCAGCTATTTCCACGGCTTGAGCCCCACTCTTCAGTGGTACAGGTCAAGTCTTGAATGCCTGTCTCTGCTCCTTCTCATGTTAGTGGCTGCAGCTTGCTAGGCAGCCCATACCCATAGTAGTAGGTAACTTGAATAGGCAGAGTTGAGTTCTGTACATAACAAATGAATCTGAAACAAGGGTTGAGTTTTTCAATGTTTCTGTCTTACCTTGTGATTGATTCCCCCTTAGGGTCACAGCCACCTTCGAGAGAATCCAGTGGGACAGCTGTTCCTCCAGAGAACCGGCACCAGCCCCCCAGCACTAACTGCTTTGGTGGGAGATCCCGGTAAGACACTGCTTTGTTGATGAGATAGAGATGAGAAAGAAGCTTTGAGCTATTGAAAGCTGGGAAGTGGCACTAGGAAGTGGCGAGGAGCAGTTTATGTTAGAAAATCCTTGGAAATTTCCAGGGATCTTATAACTCTCTCAATATGTTAAGGAGGCCTAAAAGGGAGTACAAAGCTCAGGATTTCTGGAAAAGTCAGAGGATTAGGACTGGCTAAGTTGGTTATTTGGATAAAAGAAGCTGCTGAACAGAGAACTTGACTCTGCTTTTTTATACATCAGGTATAGTGGCCACAGTTGTCCTTCCAGGGTACACACAGAAACACTGAGAGCAATGGTTCTTTTTATGTGAAATTTTCTGTCTGTGCACTTCTATTCTGGGGGAGTCCATGGTCCCCTCTGGAGTGTTAGTTAAGAACTCCTGCACTAAGAGTCTGAGTTATATTGTACTTGTTATACATGTCACAAATGACTTAATTTTATTTACCAATATTCTCATCTTATACCTGTGTTAATGGTACAAACTCATTTCCACAGCAGCTGAGTTACCAGGCAGGAGAATAACTTTATTAGAGGGGTGGGGGAGGGGGTTGGGACCTGTGTTCATTGTTTATTACAATGTATAAAATCCTCAGACATCTTAAGGAAAGTTTAAGGAAAAGAATCATATTAATGCAGTTTGTAGATTTTATCTTCCTGAACAAATCCCAAGGAGTGGGGGAGAATGCTTTGAAAAATGGAATATGATTTCAGCCAGTACCTACAGCCTCTTGAAAGCTGTCTCTCAGGACGACCCTTGGTCTCTCTGGATTTGGTTTGTTTGAGGGTTTGTGATGTGGTGATGCCTGGCAGGCGCAGGTGCAATGAAAGAAGGGGGTTTGGATCTTTTGTTTTTAGAGCGTCATTAGCAGCAGATGCGCCATTTTCCTATTCTGTTTTCTCCAAGTCTCTGCAAAGGTATTACTTCACACCCTAAAGTCCAGTCGCATTTTTCTGTGACTCACTAGATGACTTACAAGATGGGATAAAATAGTTGGGTCTCACAGTGTAAGGATCGACAATATAATTGGCAAATCTTATGTCACCAGAGGAAGAATGAACCCATTGCCATTGAGGTGATTCCAATTCATAGTGACTCTATAGGACACAGTAGAACTTCCCCAGAAGGTTTCCAAGGCTGTGATCTTTACGGAAGCAGACTGCCACATCTTTCTCCCAAGGAGCGGCTGGTGGGTTCAAACTGCCAACTTTTTGGTTGGCAGCCGAGCGCTTTAACCACTGCGTCACCAGGGCTCCTTAGAGGAAGAATAGGTATTTAGAACTGGAGAAAACAGAATCTCCTCAATGGCAAATAGCTGGGGGGAGGAGCACTTCAGCATTTCACTCTCTGAGGATGATGCCTTCTGCTTAGCTTTGGCACTAATAAAAGCAGTCTTGGCTTTCTAGCTGATTTGGAAAGTTTGTATCAAACAAAACTGACATCACTTAATTTGAGTTTGGAAAGAAGAGTTCTGGTCTTAACAAGTTTAGAGTTACTTAAAGTCTTGACCTATTGCTTTCTGAATTTCTCTAGTTGATAGACCTTGAAATGCATGTATCCTGATAACCCTACTTTGTTGTAGTTTGTGGTGAGGACTGTTGACTGTAAAAACAGCAGCCAGACTTCAACATAAAATCGAATGCATTTTTGCCCTTAATACATGGTAGACGTTCAATGCTGGTTAATTATTGATGGGCAGAGTACTTTTCGGATAACTTAAGCTTTGTAGCAGTTCTCCTAGTCTGCCTTTCTACTGTGTGCGGCATTTTACCATGCCTGACCTGAGTTTTCACAGGCCTCTGTGACCTAAGTATTCTTCGTTCACATATAACCTGCTGCCACTCAGCAGGAAACACATTTGAAAATATCACCCAAAGGCAGTAGCGTCTGCATCCTTCCCCCCTTTGCTGTTGCATTTATCAAGGTCAGTGTGCACAAATACTACTGTAGGTGGTAGCAGGGTTGTTGTTAGGTACTGTCGAGTTGATTCTGACTCATAGCAACCCCCTGTGACAGAGTAGAACCGCCCCCCAGGGTTTTCTAGGCTGTAATCTTTACAGGAGCTGATCACCAGGTCTTTCCCCCAGGGAGCTACTGGGTGGGTTTGAACCACCAACATTTCAGTCTAGTGGATCAGAGTGTAAGACTTTGGGATCAAAAACATAGATCAAATCCTGGCCTGTTATTTATTTGCTGTGTGATATTGAGCAAGTCACTAAGCCTTTGGAGCCTTGATTTTTTTCAGATGTAAAATGGGTATGATATCACCTGTCTCACAGGATTATTTTAAGGATTAACAGAGATGAGATATGTTCATCTGAGGGCCTTGCATGGTGGGAGTGCACCTTAAAGGTGGTGGTGGTGGTGGTGGTGGTTTTTTTTTGTGCTTGTAGACTGTTGATTGCTCCCTCTGCCCCTCAGCTTGGGAAGTGAGACATCATCAGTGCGTTCTCATTAAGGATGGTAGCTGGGAGGGTGATGAATGGAATTTTCAGGATTTTAAGGACAACCCTCTGCTATCCTTGCTTTCTTGGGGCAGAGAGAATGATGATGGGCTTCTGCTTGCTGGCTCCCAGACTAAATATTTAGCTTTCACTGTCTGAAGGGCAGGTTTTTCCTGGACTTGGGTGCCATTCACTGTGATCAGACAAAGGTGCTCTGATGTGCTTGTGAAGGAGAAGACTGCAAAGTTGAAGCAGCCTTTTCCTCTCCTTTCCTCTGCTTTATAATTATAATCTATAGAGAGACTGGAATTGTGAAAGGGTTTTATCTTAGGAGTTCACCTGCCCTAGTTCATCCAGTAGAGACATTGCTAGCTAAGCAAGGGCTCAAAGCTCCATTTCTTAGTGCGATCCTTCCTATTCTTTCAGTATAATGAGGTGAAAACATCTCTAGTTGTTTTACCTGATCTGCCACATGGATGTCAGTATGGGTGACCACCAGCAATTCATGTGGCTTAAATGTGTTTGCAGACAGACTGCATGAGTATGTAGTCAGTGGGTCTGTTTGGATATAGAAAGAGTTAATATCATAAATTGTGGTATATACACTGAAATACCATCCGATAGTAAAAATGGGTGAATGATAGTTACATCAATGTGGTGGAATCTCAGAAACATCATGTCGAGCAAGGGAAGCAGATTATAGAAAAAATATACAGTATGATGCCATTTACATAAAATTAAAAAATGAAAAAGTAAACAGTATGTGTTTTTTATGGATACCTTGAGAGGTGGTAAAACTATTAAAAAAAAAAAGAAGGGGAAGATTAACCGTGAATTCAGGAGAATGATTGTCATTTGGGAGACGGAGAAAGGTATAATGAAAAAGGGCACACAGAAAGCTTCTAAGGTACTGGTGACGGTTATTTCTTAGACTGGTGGTAGGTCCATGAGTACTCATCTTATTATTATTCTTAAACTGAATATATTTTAAATAAATTCTTTTGTGTGGTGGTGGTGGTGGTTGTGGTGTTAGGTGCTGTTAAGTTGATTCAGACTCATAGCAACCCCACGTGGCAGAGTAGAACTGCCCCATAGGGTTTTCTCGGCTGTGATCTTTACAGAAGCAGATCACCAGGTCTTTCTCCCATGGAGCTGCACTGGGTGGGTTTGAACAGCCATCCTTTTGGTTAGCAGCAGAGTACTTACCCATTGCACCACCAGGGTTTCTTTCTTTTATGTACATGGTCTATTTTACAGTAAAAGATAAAGAAAGTCACCTACCAACCTAAGGAAACCAAGCTGTGATGGTATTGGGTTGGAGAGATTGTTTAGTATCGAGGCAGACAGATTTCAGAATTTAGGATTCCTCCAGACTCGATACTAACCACTCATTTTTCTTCTACCCAGTTTATATATATGGCAGTGTAGTCAGTGCTTCTAAATCAGTGTTCCAGGTTAGCCTTTTAGAGCTTTGCTCCTGGCACTTAAAAATCTCAGCCTAGGTGGTCGGTCCTTGACCTGAGAATCTAGTTTGGGGGTGGGGGAATGGATTCCAGATGAAAGCTTATCACATTTTCAGGAAGAGTCTCTGCCAGATAATGTATCAGAACAGCACTAGTCTTGGTAGCCTGAGAGGGCTATTCTAGCACTATCTGGTATCTGATTGCAGTGGGGACAATGCCTTTGAATAGTCAGGATTAGTATGCCATCCTGCCGGTGTACTACGCCATTGTTCCTTATTCTGGTGTAATAGTAGAGTACCCGGTATATTGTGATGCCTTCTGGGAGAGTGTGTGCTAGTTGGCACAGGGAGTACCTGCCACGCCCTTTAATAATTCCTCAGTGTTGATTTTATTTTGCTGGAATGAGGGCTGGCTTTGGGACCCTTGCCTTAGTCAATTCAGGCAACATAGTTTGAAGACCTAATGTGTGCCTGGTATTGTGCACACACTGCACGGGGTGGGCCAGAAACTTGGCCTCTACTCTCCACAGTGAGTTCTCCATCTCTGTGATACAAGACATATTTATGAAACAGGCAAATAAAACTATAGTGCTGTGGAGAGGGGCAGACTGAGCAGAGAGTGGGACGGGTTTGCAGAGGCATTGTTTGTTGTCCAACGGTTCAGTGCAGTATCTTAGCTCTGAGAGCTAAGGAGACCCACTGTGGTGTATGTGAAGGGAAGGAGACCAGCAGAGGGATCCAAGCCAGTTCTGGCAGTTCTCTTCAGAGTTACTGTTGGATTAGGAATGGTTGTGAAATTCCAGACTGAAGAGTGGAAAGCCAAAGTGTCTGAGTTCCATTGTGGTTTGCTGGATTCTTAGTCACCTGTGATTTTTTTTTTTTTTTCCTCCCTGGCAATTCTATGAAATCAGGGAGTTAAGATAAAGTCAAGTAATGGGTGAAACCCATACTACTGTTTGTGAGCATTGCTGCCCTTCCAAGCACAGCTTTAAGATTTCTTCTGATTTGAATAACTGGCTCTTCAGTCTACAATCTGTGTAGATTTTCTATAGTCG